AATTTATTATATTTTTAATTTCTATTTCGTCTACGGGTTCTAGGAAAAAGTTGTAAGGATTAAAAACGGGACGTGGATTTGATATGTTTTGTTTTACAATGCGTTTTGCGTATATCTCGCCGACATTTGCAAAATAGCTGTTAAATATGTGGTAGTATACTTTACAAAATTATCTCTAAAATGAGATTCATGGAAACCATCTTGTGGTATTAATTACAACAATTAACTTTGAAATCTATTCACCATCTGAATCTGAATTTGACCCAAAAGACGCCGAAATTACAAGCAGCGATTCAGAAGAAAATGGTCCTAGTAGGCCGAAAAGAAGCAGAAAATAGCTCAAAAGAAAAAGACGAATGAAAAACAAACTTTTGATAACGAAAGTAAAGATGTAGCAAAGTGCAAATGTTCCTGTTGATGATATGCAAGAAAATATATCAAGAAACGTGGACAATATCGAAGATAAAGAAGTTTTATTGGAAAACACGCTACACGACTCAAGAACTCAAAATCGAAAAACTAAAACACCACTAAAAAAAGGTTTAAAAGGTAAAAATGGTCATCGCTGGCACACGGTTTCCAATATACGTAAGCGTGTGTAAAAAAAAATATTCTACACATTGTACCAGGTGGAGCTGCACGAGACACAGACTCACATTTAGCAGCATTTCGTAGCATTATAGATGACTATTTGAAAATATTTTGACCCATACAAATGAGCATATCGCAATAAGTTCTAGAAAGTATAAAGTAGCAAAATCCACTGTTTCTCCTGTTTCTAGGAAAGAACTTGACGCCCTAATTGGTCTACTAACATTTGAGGGTGCCCAAACAGATAATCATCTGAGACCAGAGAAATGTTTGACTAAATTTTTGTTAGATAACTTGCGGTTCGACAACGACGTAAGAAGGGTACTAGATAATTTTGCGCCAATACGAGAAGTCTGGGACCGGTTTATTTTAAATTGTAATGTATCATGTAAGCCCGATAGCTACATAACAATCGATGAGAAATTATTACGATTTAGAGGTCGTTGTCTATTTAAGATGTATTTACCTAGTAAACCATCAAAATACGGGATAAAGATTGTTATGACCTGTGATGTAGCTACAAAATATATGTTTGATGCTCAACCATACCTTGATAAACATACAATCACTAATGGAATCATATTGAGTGAGTAAATTAGTTGACCAAAACAATATATGGAAGTCACCGTAATATCACAATGGATAATTGGTTCACTTTCATCACTTTGGCTGACTAGCTCTGTGACGAAGTCACTAAATTTTATTTTTAATTCATCTTAAAAATGTATATTTCAATTAATTCCCGCCTGAGAACATGTAGAAGTATTTCTGTTTCCCAGGAATTACAGTTTTTCAACAATTGCGAGTACCCTCGTAGATTAAAATATTCTTATATTTGCCGAAATCCGAATGGGCATTTTTAGAGTCGATTTCGTATGGATTATCTGCCCGCACAAATGTCTATCTTATTCCCTAAGTCCAAAAACATTGATTAAAGATCTAATTAAAGAGAAATATTGTTTTTTATATATTTTGGAAGAATTTTTTTCTTATGTTGGTAATTGTTGATTTTTGCTTCGATTGGTCAACCTGTCGTTTTGCATTGAGCTTATGGCATTCCAAATGGCGGACGGCTTCCGGAGCTGCTGGCGGTTGCGGTTTTTTGGCTTTTTTTCCGAAAAATATCTGGTAAATTGATTGTTTTACTTCTTAATACAGTGTTGTGATGTGTCTGCTATATTTGTGTGTTAAATTTGCGTTTCTAAAGTTCCGCTTTTTGTGTTTTTCAGGCCTTTTTGTGATTTTGGGGGCCCTCGATCGTCGTCCTGGAGCTTCGTGTGGCTGTTCCGTAGGTATTTGTGGTTTTTTTCTCTCGCGTACGGGGGCCCTACCGCTCCGCTCCCCCCCCCCCCCCCCCCCCTCTCCTCCCCCCCCTCCCCTCTCCCCTCCCTCCCTCCCCCCCGTACGCGCCGCCCTACCCATCGCCTAAAGGCTAACCCAAGAAAAAAAAATTTTAATTTCCCCCCTCCCGCAATTTGGTTACCCCTCGCCCACAGTTCTTAGACTCTTTCTTGTCAAGGACTATAAGGGCATTTTTTTTATTTTTAAATTGTAAACAGTCGGCTGTAGTAGTGGTATCTCCACTTTGTCGTACTGGTCTTCCATCTTGCTTTACCGAAAAAGCATAAATTCATGAAGAGCTGAAAATGACAGCTCTTGATTCCCGACATCCGAGAAGTACTCAGCTTTCTTTTAATTTATAGTAAATACGCCGTGTAGTGCCGTGATCTCGATTAATTAATTGGTTGACCCGTTGGATTTGTTGAGGTAGGAACCGTATATTATTTTTTTTATATTGGCTTTTATATAATTAGTTGGGATACCCGTATGACAAGCAAAGAATTTTGATTCACATCCAGGATATATTATTTCATCCCTCAGTGGGAAACCGTTGGCAATTTTTTATTTGAGATTGGACCTAGACTAGACACCGAGTGTTCTCTTTGTCACCGACTATATCCAATTTCTTTTAGAAACCGCCCAGTTAACATCGAAGTGAGAGATCCGACCTGTTTGCGATTTTTTATTATTTTATTTTTTATTTCTTTTTCGGAGGTTCGATCCGTTGACTGGGTTAGAGAGCTCTCTCTCTTGATGACGTTTTCTAATTTCCAAAAAAGACTTTTAAATTAATTTCCGCGCCTCACTTCGTGTAAAATTTCTTTTTTTTTTAATTTTTTTTATTCAGCCGTATTTGAATCATTCCCCGTCCACAATTAGTTATTGAATGAAGCCGGACGACTTCTGTAAAATTGAATTCACACACAAGCTTTTGATAGACGCTGGGCAAAATTCATAAATATTTTCTACGATCGTCGTGGTCGCTATCCAAAACACCGCGTAAATAAACCATATTTATCAGTAAGCGAGAATTTTCGTTTCCCATCGCTTGTTTATTAAGACAATTTTGAGTTCATTTATTTGTTTGCATTTGATTACCGTCATATTTAAATTGTTTCAAGTGTATTAATTTATTTTCACACATTTTCCGTATACTGGGCGTTTCACAATTCCCAGTCCGATTAGCCTCCTGTGCTAATAAACCATAAATATTTCTATGTTTAAATAATTTTCAACTTTAATAATTTATTTTTAACAAATTTTTCGAATACGGAGATCCGTCAATATTTAAATAATTTTCAACTTTAATAATTCATTTTTATTCAATTTTCTGGATATAGGGATCCGTCAATATTTAAATACTTTTCAATTTTAATAATTTATTTTTAAAGAATAGATTTTCTGAATCATATATAATTACCGTTGTATTTATTTTTTTTTTGTAAATATATATTTTAGTACCTATGGCTGTGTTTCTCTTATTACTGGTTCTTAACCGTTCTCTTTCAGGGTACCGTAGGGTACGAGGTGTAAAGGAGATAAGTGTTTTATTTATTCTAGTATAGTGGCTACCTAGCAGTGACCGCCTGGAATTATTTTTACCTCCACTGAGTTTACCTTGAATACACTCTGGTGTACTTCAGGATCGCAGAGCAAACTGCGATGCCAAAACTGGCGTCTGAGCAACCCCTAGCTCTTACAGCCTCCTTATAACCTGACAATGATAGGAACAAGCGTGAAGTGCCACCAGAAATTATTAACAACAAAAACAGGGAAGTTGGCAGCTCAATATTTTGTTTTAATAATGAAAAAACCTTGGTATCTTGTAAAACAAAGAAAAATAAAAGTGTTTTGGTATTATCTACTATACATAAAGGCTCTATTATTTGTCAAACAACTAAAAAAACCGGAAATAATTTTACACTATAACGCAAAAAAAAGAGGTGTAGATGCTTTTGATCAAATGTGTGGATACAGGAGCTGTAGCAGAAAAACACGTAGGTGGCCCCAGTGTATGTTTTATGGTATGCTCAATATGGGATGTTTAAATGCATGGATTATTTTTAAGCACAATTTACAAGGAGTGGGTAAAAAACTCTTACTAGAAAACAATTTATAAATAAATTTCAAGAGCAACTTACGAGGCCGTGGCTAGAGCAACGTTTTAAACTACCAACTTTGCAACGTTTATTTAAAGTTCTGATTAGTAAAATTCTCGATATTCCGCCTTAGGAACTTCAGGAGAAACCTCCTGCAGCCAAACGAACCACATGTTATATGTGTCCTTCAAAAAAACTACGAATGACGTCATTATATTGTAAGCATTGTCAACGTGCGTTCCGCACAGAGCGTTGTAAACCTCTTAATTTTTGAGCTACAAGGTGTTAAGAAAAAAATTACATTTTTTATCATAATTTTCTTATCACTTTAGATATTTTTATGAAATTTTGTACACACCTTTTAATCATTAAGGAGCATTTTTTGACGTAAAATATTTTTTAAATGTTTACAAGTGACGTCTGTACGGGGTTTGGACTGAATATTTATGAAGAAAAAATTTGTACGTCACTAATTTTTCTAAAAACCAAAATTATTTTTAAAATCCTCATTTATTTTGGAGCAAATTTAGACTTACTTTTATATGACAAAAAAAATAAAAACAAATAATGTTTTTCCATTGAAACTGCTTTTGATATTTTGTTGAAATTTGGTGAAAACACTTTTTTTGGGGCAAAATTTCATAAAAATATCTGGAGTGATAAGAAAGTTATGATAAAAAAGTTATTTTATTCTTAAAACTGTAACTCCCTGTAGCTTAAAAATTAAGAGGTTTACGACATGATGATCGTAATTTTTGTTCTTAAAAAACCCAGGGCACTCAATTAATAAACACACTGTATAGTTGTTGATCTGATAATAATTGTCTTTCAAATGTATTTTCTTTGCTTTACTGGATACAGTTTTAGATTTAAATATTTTGTTTATTGCTGCTGCAAGTTTATCTCATTTTATTAATCTTGGTTCTATTTCTTGTCATCTTCTTGTTCCATTATGTCAACTCCTGAATACGTTAATATTTTAACTTTATCAAATTTTGCGTTATTAGCTAGTGTCGATCCATTTAGCAAGTACTTCTACATAGCTAAAAGTTCATAGAATTGATCATTTTAAGTATATTTATTTATTGAATTTAAATTGATAAGTAATTTTATGAAGGTATATAAAATAGATTAGTGCTAATACCCTCTTATCTTTTCACTTTCACCATAATCAACATAGTCATATAAAATAAAAGAAACACTTCCAATATTCGTTTAAATAAAATGGGTTTTAAATTTTCTCTTTTGCTATGTGCTCTATTGACGTGTACTTTGGCTGAAAGGCCTACTTTTTCTAAGTTCGCTAGAAAACCAAGATTCAAAGAATTATATGGAAAACTTGATGCTAATATTAGAGTAGGAGATGCAGGTGAACCGTTAATATTAACTGATTATTTGAAAGAAAATAAAATTCAAGAAGCTCAAGCTGCCGCTGAAGTAGACCCAACATTATTCTTAGGAGTAAAGAGTTATTCTGGGTATTTTAGAATTAATGAAGCCACAAATGCCAATTTATTCTTTTGGTTCTTTCCATCCCAATCTAACTATGCAGAGGATCCTGTTATACTTTGGTTACAAGGAGGTCCAGGTTGTTCTTCTATGTTTGGTTTATTTGAAGAACATGGACCAGTTCAACTGGTTGGAGATAACCAGCTAGAAATTAGAAATACTTCTTGGTCAAAATCTAATTCGATTCTTTATATTGACCAACCAGTTGGTACAGGCTTTAGTTTTACCAACGGAGAGTTTGTTAAAAATCAAACACAAGTAGGTGCTGACCTTTATATTGTTTTACAACAGTTTTTCCAGCTTTTTCCAGAATTACAATCTAATAACTTCTTTATAACTGGAGAATCTTATGGAGGTAAATACGTTCCTGCTATAAGTTACACGATATTACAGAATAATCCAAATGCTGATTTAAAAATTAACCTCATAGGATTAGCTATTGGAAATGGTTGGAGTTCTCCTAAACATCAGTTAAGATATGCCGATTATTTGTTACAACATGGTTTAATTGATTCAAATACTAGAGATGTAATGTTTGACTTAGAGCAGCAAGGTAAGTAACTAACGTTCTATCAATTTTTATATTTTGATTTAATTCATTTGAAAATGCTTAATTATCTATTAAAATAATACGTAATGTACTATTCAATACAAGGTTTATTAGGAATTGTTTTGTTAGTTCATAGTATGTGCCTGAGATTGTTTTACTTTTGAATTGTTTTTTAATAGAGGATGTTTGCTTTAATTATGTTACATGTTCTTTTTGTAGTTGCTGTTTAATTTATTTGTGTATTAAAAGGAGAAAGTAATACTTTGACACTTCCTTATCTGTAACATAATCTATTTGAAAAAAAAAAATATAATTAAAATAGCCATTCTTACTGATTTTCAGTATAATTTAAGTATCAGATCTGTCAAATACGTCAGTGACATTGTTTCAAAGGGTTACTACTGAAGTTATTAATGTTACTTTTAACCAACTGATGACATCAATTTAGTCACGTAGGATATGGGTATTATTGCAGAGTCCATATATTACCACTTTCAAATAATTTTCCCCTTCGTCCAAATTAGCATTTAAATTTTAAAGGTCTTCTTTATTAGTCAATGGTCATTTGAAATCTTTTAAAACAGATCTTTCTAATTCTTGCTTATTTATTGTTGACCCTTTCATGTTATCGCGTATTTGCAAATTCTGGGCTCTTAAATTGTTTTGTCCTTGGACAATTTTAAATAAAGCAGTTTCTGAATTAATTAAAACAATAAGAGGTAAATTTTATTTCACTACCTATTTTCATTTGGTGATACCCACAACAGTTGATAGTTGAAAAGTAGTATATTGTATTAAAAATAAAAGTAATAGTTTTGATGTTCCTTTTATTTCAAATATTTTTTCTTCAAAGAGCTTTAAAAAAATATTAAAAATTTATAAATTTACCATCAAGGAAGCTTAGTTATTTTTGCCAATCTGCAAAAATTGCACAATATATATGTTCCTCTTGAAGGAATTTCAGAAATAGGTACACCATATGTTAATTAAGACTTCAATTGACAGAAGATTTTTAAGTTTATTAATATCACACCGTAGCATGAGGTTTTTGATACACATTTCCAGACCAAAATGATAATAATGGCCAGGTCCAACAGTTTTTGTAGTATTTTTTCTTGGTATATGAAGTAGTGTTTGTGGATCTTTTGGCAACTCTTTACACAAAGGATTAAGAATCATTAACAACTCATTTATTGCTGTGGGAGTTATTTTTTACTGCCCAACCACCCAATAAAATTTAAAGAGAAGAGGCATCAGGATTTACATTAAAATGATTATCAGAGAATTCGTAGTTATCTACAAATATATTAGTATTTTCTGTTATTTCGACATTAAACTCCAACAAAATTTCATCCCGGAGATAATCTATACATATTAGGGGGATTTTTTTTTCGACTTTTTTTATTATTTTCGCTTCCGTCCTGAAATTTTGTTGAAAATGCTCCAAAAAAAAATCCCTGAAAGTTTGAGCCCTTAATATTAATATTAAGTCCTCGACCAAGGCGTGCAAAATTTTCCATTTCAAATACACGTAAAATTAGGGTTTTTTTCTTCAGATTCCTATAGCTTAGCGGCATTTCATGGTATTATTTCGACCATAGACATGTATTTGTTTAAATTGAACGCTCTACAAAAGTATCCATTGTGGTGATGTCGTAACTCACATCGGCAAGGTAGTACGGGTCACTAAATCGATTTTTTTCATGAAATTCACGTTATTTCGACCCTATGTTATAATTGAGAAGAGTTACAGAAAAAATGTAAATGACAAAGTTGTAGGATATTTAATTTATTACAAAAAATGTCCTGAGAATCAAATCGCTAAGATCAATATTTGTCGAGATTCGAGATATTAAGCCTTGAATTAATTTTACTGGCCAAAGCTTCGTGATATTCTAGTACTAACCCTGAGTAAATTCGCGGTCTGTTCAAGGTGAGTAGTGCTTGTGTGCTATCTGTATAGATGAGTATGTTCCTTCCAATGGTATTGTTTCTGATGATTTCTTTTGCTGCTATGAGAATCCCCGTTAGCTCTAATCGAGGACCATGTTCCACAGTAGAGGTGATAGCACCCGTCTCTGTGGACATCTCATTGCAACCAAGCCTCTTATATTCATTTCTTCTACACTTATGTTTACTGCTCGCTTTGATAGCATATTATGTATCCACCCACTAACCATCTGTGGAACATTCCTGTTGGTTAGTGAATGTATTATATTTGGGAAGGTGGTTTTTTCAAAAGCACCTTCTATGTCTGTGAAAACACCCAATGCCTTATTGTCCAGGGATCTCTCTAGCCGGCCAGCAACTAGATGAAGGGCTGAATCAGTAGATCTGCCTGGGGTGTTTGTATGTTGGTTTGGGTGTAGTGGTGTTGTAATCACCGCATCCCTTATGTACCTTTCGTATAGCATTTCCAATGTCTTCATGGAAAACGATATCAGACTAATTGGTCGGTATGTTTTTGGGACAGTGTAATCCATCCTTCAAGGTTTGGGTATGAATATCACTTTTACCTCTCTCCATTTTTTGGGAATATACCTCAGCGCCAACGAGGATCTGAATATACCCACCAGGTGCGCTAAAGAGTTTAAACTGTCGCACAAAACGTCTTTTTATATCACTGATCCCATATATTTAAATTTATTCACCTTCTCTAGTTTCTTTGTATTTCTTCTTTACGTTGATTTTGTTAATATGCTTTTTTCTACCTAACACGATTTTTTTAATCTATACGTTTCTTTTTGTATTCTTGACAGCTGTCAACTCTATCAATAAAGGAGACTTCAACGAGGCAAATTTGTATATGGACGCCGATTTTAGAGGCCAATTTTCTAAATTTACTTTAGCTACAAACTTTTCAAATGGTAACAATTATCTTGTTGAAGACAGTGATGAATCAGGTGACGAATGGGTAGGCAATTTTTTACAAAGGGAGGATATAAGAAGAGCAATTCACGTTGGAAACACTCCATTCAGTAATGGTAATGAAGTTTACGACAGTTTAATAGAAGATATTCCAAAATCTGTAGCTCATTGGGTTGAAGAGCTTTTGGAAAACTACAGAGTATTAATTTATAACGGACAGTTAGATCTGATAGTTCCTTATCCGGTTACCATAGATTATATAAAAAGTCTTAATTTTTCGGGGGCTGATGATTACAAGAAGGCGTTACGATTCACGTGGTTTGTCGGAAACAGAATAGCTGGATATTCTAAGAGTGCTGGAAATCTAACAGAAGTTTTAGTGAGAAACGCTGGCCATAATGTACCTTCAGATCAACCAGAATGGGGACTAGATCTGATTAACCGATTTGTAAAAAATCAGCCGTTTACAAATTAAAAATATTATTTTTTATATTTACAAACTTAAATAAAAATGTTTAAGTACCTAAACGCTTTTTAAATTACAAAATTAATTTTTAGTTTGAACTATTTCACCAGTAAATAAATGATGCCAAATTTTGATCAATATTTTGTTTCTGAAATGTAAAACTTGTGAGATTTGTAAGACCTGTAAAATTGGTATGAAACTTTTTTGAAACATAATATATTGTTTATGGTAAATTTTTCATTTGAAATTAATAAGATAAATTTTAGATAGTACAGTATATTGGAATTATGCAGTATAGCAATTTGATTTTGAATCGGGTCTCGAAGGATGGCAGATTGTTTTGAAAATAAATAGGGAGATGTCAATTTTGATATTTAAAAAATGTCAGAAATTTTAGAAAAAAATAGGATTGTAAATTAAAAGAGATATATAAAAAATTAAATAAGCAAACTTTTGAAGATACGTTTGTAATAGATTATAGGAATAATAACGATTTATAAGAAGAGGAGAGTACACATAAAAGGTGATATGCGATTGATATAAGACCGGAAGTCCAAGAAGAAAAAAACTGGACAGCAGTGATACTCAGACCGGTATTTATGAAACATTTTTTTTGTGCAAATATTGACTAACGTATGTCCCTAAAGTTTTCGGAAAAAAAATCTATTTTTATTTAATTTATCGCAGACAGCCTAGGATCAAGTTGCCATTGGAAACAAAGTTAGTAAACAACTCAAAGTATGTTGCTAAATGTCAGTTTTGACTAATTGTTTGTCAAGATGTCGTATAAGCTTAATATTCGTCAAAGTATTTATCATTTAGTTGGACAAGTACCTAAGCGCGATATTGTTAGAATTTTCAGCGCCCAAAATATTTCTACTTCCACAATTTACCAGACTATTAAAGACTGTGAAAATAGCATACCATGCATTAATTTGCCAAAAAGTGGGAGGCCAAAAGTTTTAAGTCGTGCACGAGAACGGAGATTGGTTGAAAGTCTAGAAAACAAATTAGGAAAGTCATTGCGCAAAGTTGGCCGAAGATACAATGTTTGCCGAATGACTGTAAGTAGAACACTCTCTAGAAATAATTTAAAATATTATAAAAGAAGAAAGGCTCCTAAATACACAGTAGCTCAGTTGGAAAAAATTCCCAGATGTTGCCGTGCTTTGAGACGTGTTCATTTTCCCGGTAAAATTATCATTTTGGATGATGAAAAATATTTTACTTTATCAAATTCGGAAATGAGAGGTAACGATGCGGAAGAAGCTCCTGATCATGTTCGATTTAAAGGCAAGGTTAAATTTGCCGACAAAATTTTAGTGTGGTGTGCCATTTCGGAAGCTGTTCGCGGTGAAGCTATTAATGCGGAGATTTACATCGAGAGATGTCTTTCAAAACTTCGTAACTTTAAACATACTCATCATCCCAATGATGAAGTGATATTTTGGCCCGATCTAGCATCGTGACATTACGCCAGGAGAACGACAGACTGGTTAACTGCTCAAAATATAAATTTTGTTCCTAAGCGCAACAACCTTCCAAATGTGCCTCCGGCGAGGCCTATAGAAGAGTTTTGGGCCCTTTTAAGTCGAAAAGTATATGATAATGGATGGGAAGCCCAAAATGAGGAGCAGTTAAGACGAAGAATACTGCAAAAAAATTCGTGAGATCGATTTAGCAACGGTCCAAAGGCCCATGTAAGGCCAAAACTAAGTGCCATCGAAGAAAATGGACCCATGTATCTTCTATAAAAATATCAAATAACGTTTAGAGTCCTTGAGAAAATAGGATTAGAAGGGTCGCTATAGGCATTGAGACATTTCCTTAGTGCAGTGGCGACAGAAGGGGGCACAATAGATCTTTTAGGTCGCAGTGTATTAACACCCCATTATCAACATAACATAACGTTTAGAGTTCTATAAATACTTTCCTATTGTTAATTTTTAAATAAATTTATTTCCCAACCAAAAAAATAAATGTTTTATTTTTTCCGAAATCTTTAGGGACATACGTTATTAGTTTCAAAAGGGATAATAGATATATTCATAACAAGTTGTTCGTTGAATATTTAGACAGTTGTAAATATCATAGTTTAGAGTTTAGTAATTTTTCATAAAAGGCTAAGTGATAATCAAATAATAATTATTGAATTTTGTAATTTTTCTTTGACAAGAAACGCATTTTTTAGTAGGTGTAGTAGGGTAGTTATTAGTTTTTTTTTCTTTTTTTTTATTTATTCCATTTATTAAAATATCTGATATCTGTTCAATGTTTCCATAAGGGTCATTTTTAAAAGTAGGGATAATTGGAACATACATAAAAGTGTCTTTTTTTAATTAATAAGAAAACAAAATCTAAAATAAATCGAAGCTTATTAAGTAACAGACGGTAAAATTATGCAATATTGCATATAAATCACTAAAACTTTTATGACATATTTGTTGATTAAAAAGGTTGCAAGATGTAGATTATGTATAAAATATAGCTGCATCGGAGTTGATAAATTATACTTCGGAGTTGATCTCTATTTAATTAACTTGCGTGAATAAATAAAAGGAAAATTTATTGAATTTAATTTTTATTGATAATTATTATTAAATAATGGTAACTTCTCGATATACAAAAAATAGGGAAAAGAAAACAAATGTAGAGGAACTACCTAGTACAAATTATGTTTATACTTGTCATAATCTATGCTAAAATAGTAATGATTTCTTTTGTCAAACAACTAATATTGATGGCTGTCGATGAGTCATCATAAAGAGGCGACCATTTTGCTTTGGCATTCGTTGTTTGTATGTTTGTATTTTTAATTGCCTTCATATTGTGAATAAGAAACGTTTAGTTAAAAATAAAAAATGGTACTAAAGTGTTGTGTGCCAATGTGCAGGGAAAATTATGACAGTGATAATAAAAGACACATATTGCCCTAAGACACGGCCCAAGAAAAGGCACAACTGCGAATACTTAATATGGAGAGACGGACGCAGGGCTACCTGGATAGTCAAAAGGGGGGGGGCAACATGGCGAGATATCTCATTAAGCAGGGTGAGGTCGTGATGGACCTAGTATGGCTGGAAATAAGGGAGCACCTAGAAGTGACGCAGTGCTTTAAGTGTTGCATGTTCGGCCACGTGAGTAAATATTGTAAGCATGATACGTGTTGCTACAAATGTGGGGGACATCACGACGGGAAAGAATGCATGAAGTAAGAATGGAACTGCATAAATTGTGAGAAAGTAAAAGTAGCGGCTGGAGACAGGAAACATGGGGCTAGGGACATGAGTTGCCCAGTATGGAATCGACAAATGCAAAGGGGTAGAGTCAATTTTCACAATTGAACTCTTCATTATGCAGATTAATGTGGACAGAGGTAGAGAGGCAAGTTCCTTGTTTACACTGGGCAGTTGGATGATATGGGTGGCAAGGGCCATATGAAAAAAGTGGTATTACACCTATTAGAAGAAAAATTAAATAATGGGGCACTCGGTGTACATGGATAATTTTTACAACAGCTATTCTTTAGCTAAGAAATTATTAGCATCAAATTCGTACTGCACAGGAACTTTAAGGTTAGATAGACAAGATAATCGAGATGACGTAAAGAAGGCAAAGCTAGTAAGGGTGAAACACTTTCAAGATATTCAGATAAAGTTATGATTGGAAAATGGAAAGACAAGAGAGATATTACTTATATTTCAACAGAACACGAAAATAATTTAGTAACAATTAAAAATAAAAAAGAAGAAGAAAAATCAAAGCCTCTTCCAATACTTGAGTATAACAAAAATATGAGTGGAATCGACCGTCAAGATCAAATGATGGCGTACTATCCGACTACACATAAGACTATTCGTTGGTACAAGAAGTTAGCGATACACATATTTCAAATCATTTTACCAAACGCTTTTCTTCTTTTTAATAAGTTTTCCGGGAAAAAATGGACTTTTATAATTTTAGACTGCAAGTAATAGGTGCTTTGCTACCTGAAAAAACTGAAGCTACTTCTCGTCCTAAAGTTTCCAAACCATCAGAAGGACATTTTCCTACCAAAATAACAGTTAAAAATTCTGCTGGAAGAGTTATAAGAAAAAGATGCAAGTTTTGTCATAAAAACAAAATTAGAAAAGAAACCTATTATCATTGGGAGAACTGTCCTGATCAACCTGGCTTGTGTGTTTCTAAATGTTTTGTTGACTATCACGAAAACTTAGCCAAGTAGTTTTATTTACGTTTTTCCTATCGTTAATTTTATTTGATTTTACAATATTCGTTTCAAATATTTTAAAAACTAAGGTTATTGATTTTTGTTATAAGAAAATTAGTTTTATTTTCGTTTTTCTACACCAGAAGTGTTTTTATTTGTATTATATTTATGCTTATTTTGTGCACAATAATGTCTGTACTTATTTTCCAAGTATTTAATAACAGTTCTAAGCAGGCTTTGATTTCTTAGCGTATAATTACATGTCGCCTATAGGCGACATGAGCACTTTAGAACAAAATTCGTCCGACAATGCTTACGTCGCCTATGTGCGACATGTCAATTATGACAGGTATAACTTTAAAAAACATGATTCTCATGATTTGTTGTATATGTTTTATGCTAAAAAAAAGTAAAATCTACAAAAACAAGGGCTCAGCTCCTGGGGGTGCTTAAAATATTCAGATCCGCAGTGAACGTGTTAAGTGATGAAGGACAGGTAGGTTAATTATTATTGTGGCTTATCCTCTTATTACTACAAACACGAGTGGCATATATATTTTTTTAATATTTCTTTTTTAACAATCTTCTCAGAAGTTCTTAACGTCAAATGACATTATTTACCTTGTGTTTAACTTAAATTATACTCGCAACCAGCCCTCGTATCACTTATAATCGGTAGTCAGTCTATCTGCACTTGTGTCCACAATTTTTAAAGAACTTCTCGCTGTATCTCCCACTTCCCTGCCCCGGCGCAGGGTCCACCTAATCGGCATTGGTCTTTTTGTGCTTGAAGTGTTCACATCGTAGCGCAGAGTATACACAGATAGCCGCCGTAAAAATCCTCGCTAACACGTAAGCATTACATTAAATTTATATTTTTCGTTTTAGCTTCTAGGTATTTACCTTTCAGGAAA